TCGTGAAATCAAAAAAGCGCGTCAAAATACGCGCTGTTGTCGTTAAGGACTTTTTGTGTGGTAAAGAATACAAAATTGCTTGACAACAAATACGCGCTCGTTTTGACGCGCTACTGTGATTTCACGAACTAACACAATCTACTTTGATTGTGTTAGTTCGTGATGTGAGCGACGAATTGTGTACACAGTATTAGTGTTTGCACTTTTTGAAATATTAATAACAAATAAAATTATTCATTAATGTAACCAATTTTAATATTTCTTTCAGGGCTATGGGTTGTTAAAATGGCATTCAATGAATAGTTTTTGCCCAAACTGTGGAACAAAGACAGTTTCAGATGCAGTTGGCAGTAAACGTATGTGCGAAGAATGTAATCAAGTTAATTATCCAAAGGTAGGAATTGTTATCTTGAAATTTCTACTTTGTCAAAGCATCATCATCATCTCCATCTTCATCGTCATTGTTGCTATTGATTGTATTTGTGGCAAAGACCAGCCAAAAAAGTAACGAGAAATTATAAAATGGTAAAAGAATAATTGAAATCTGACATTTCGTTATGAAGTTACAGGAGTTTAAGCATACTGTACAGCTGTTCAAAGAACATTATTTGAGAAATCAGCCTTCAAAGTTTATGATGTTGGCTATTTTTGAGGCAGAAAATCATCAACATGTTTTAAAGTTGAAAGTGGCATATGTAGATATGTAGATATATAAATTTAATTTTAGTGCAATAAAATAGATTATGAGGAGTGACATGTTTTTGGCTTGTCTTCGCCATATTTTATTAATATTAGTTATTACCAATATCATCAACATTATCTTAACTTAACCATCAGCATCTTTATACTTACTATTACTTTGACTGTCATCATCGGGATTATGGTGATGATGGTTATCATCATAAGAAAATTTAATTTTGCTAATATTATCAAAAAGTTTATCAAAAAGTTTATTGCTGTATATCAGTGCATCATATTTAATATCACAGTCATCATTATCAATATTGTAGTTATTAGTATTTAATCATTGTTACCATCATCATAGTCGTTGTTATTACCCAAATCATTGTTTGAATGACATTATGATTAGTCAGTGTCTGCTTTTTATCTTTATTCAAAGTATTCTGTTTGTTTCTCCTGTATACCAGATGGCACCAATTGTTATAACATTAGTCATGGATGGTGATAGATGTTTAGTTGTAAGACAGCCAACATTTCCTCAAGGGATGTTTAGTGCCTTAGCTGGGTTCTGTGAGATAGGTGAGATTCTTATTACACCAACTAACCGATTATGCGATTAGCTATAGCAGTGGTCACTTGACCTAATGCTGGTACAGACCTAAAGAGACCAACTAACTAGAAGGTATTTCTAAATCATAATTGGCAGCTTTCGGTTTCAGCTCTATAGATCCATTAAACAAGAATTGTTGTTAACATGAATTGAGGAACATGGCCTAACAATAGGCATGCAAATGACATTGAACAGCATTGTGTAAAGGGGTTCAATCTCCCTGGCAGATGGTGTACCTAATGGAAAGGCCAGTTTCCTCGATGGGTGCCTAAGTGGAGAAGAGATGGGCAGCTAAGAACCACTGAGGTGGGTTTCAGGTGCGAAGCCCTCAGCAAACTCCAACAGTTTAGGAATTTGAAAGGTTTATTTAAACAATTTTATAGTCTCACATTCTGTAAAACATTACATAGAATTTTTTTTCTGACGAAATTGTGTTTGTTATTTTCTTGATGATCAGCAATGGCCATTACACGGAATTTGTGTATTTCTGGAAATTTTCAAGTAATATACACCACTTTTGATCTTTGTATAATTCTCATTTGTGGAGCGATATGATAATACATTAAATGTACATTTAATTGAGTGACAATAATGATTATATTTTTTCATATGAACACTTATATTTCTCTTCAAAATTGTTCAGGTGAAACAATAGAGATGAGTACACGGCGAGAAGTAGCTGAGGAGGTTGGACTTCTGGTTGACAATGTGCATTACCAGCAATCTCAACATTGGCCATTCCCCACCAGCGGTTTGATGATAGGCTGCTATGCAACCATCATACCAGGCACCGCACATCAGGTATGACCCTTACCACAGAGTGGATTTATAAACAATCTTATAGGGAAAAGCCTCCCTGTGCATTATAATGTAATTGAAAATATTGTTTTTAATGTGGCTCTTATTGTTGTTACTATTGTCGTTACATTAAAATGTCCATTTTACGAACAGTAACCATCTTAAGATAGTATAATACATACGTATCGGAATGCACGCCATCGTGTTGAGATTCAATATTTTGACATTAATTATGTCATCATCAGGAATAACCATCTTATATCTTTATATCAACAATTCCTTAATAATGTTAGTATTTGTAAAATACAGTGTTGTGTAATTGTAATAAGTACTTAAAGATCTGTTAGTACTAGTCACTCAATAGAATATAGAAAGCACAAATTAAACACCTTCAAATACTGATTCTTTATGGTGTGAAATACACAATTCACATCAAGAAAATCTCTTTATTGCAACACAATTTAAATTGCAGTTTTGATTGCAACATGTATTAAAAAAGCAACTCTCAGGTTTACTTTAAAATATTTTATTCTCGAAAAAGTACTACTATCACGAAAAGATGCTGAGGTGAATAACTATTGTGCCCCCAATCAATGACTTTTGGTTTGACTATGAAATAGATAAATTCAATTTGATTGTTAATTAAATTCATGTTTATTTTTTTTAATTATCAGATGAGCTTAGATGAGAAGGAATTAGAAGATGCAAGATGGATGTCTAGAGAAGAAGTAAAGTCTGTACTTGAATCAAATACACGTTCAAAGGCCGGGAGGTCATCGATATGGTTTCCACCACCAGGGGCTATTGCTCATCATCTAATTAAGCATTGGGCATTCACTAAGTAATAACCGATGTTCCTATATATGAATGTTATATTTATATGATATTGGACATAAAGAACAAATTTATACAGCAAGTTAAAAGAAAATATTGAACAGTAGATAACATTCTATGTTTCATTTGATATTTTACTCTATATTTATTTTACTTACTGAATCATTATAAATGGAATAAATTGTTACTAAATTGGAAATAAATTATATTACACTGTAAATGTAACAAATAGGAATGCACCTCGTTTTTACCTTCGTTTTCTTCTGTCTTACAGCAAACTATTTATTAATAATAATTATCAGATTAACTTTATTATCTCCAAATGAAGATATTGTTTGCTCGATAAAACCTTAAAATACATTAAAATACATTCAATATAAATACAATACAAAAGTACATCACAAATTCAAAACATCAGATTTAAAAACAATTTTAAAAATCGAACGCAAAAAGAATAAAAATATATTAAAATACATCCATAATAAAATATGATACAATGAATATATAAAATCTTATAAAGCGGGTTATGCAGAGAAAAGCCTCAATGCAACAACAAGCAGTAAATAATTTTGACTTAAAAGTACATAAACTAAAAACAGCTTCAATCTGCGAAGTGTCACACCGGTATCGCATTAAATTGTCGAATAAGTTACATAAACGATATAACATAATACATAAATCGAAAACGCATATATAAAAGAATCATGAACAAAATGCTTGCAGATGATATTAAGATTATTATTAAGAACTGAATATTATTTTATTTTATTATTAAAAAATAATAAGCAAGTCAGATATGTACAACGCACACAAATGTTAATATTGCCATTTACAATTATTCAGTGGCTGTTCAACTACTTACAAAACAATCATCAAACATTCACTGAAAATTGCTCGTTTCTGCTATATAAGCAACAATTTCGTACATGAGACACAACACAGCTCCCACCCCTCGTCGGACAGAGTTGGACCCTGTAAAGGAAAGCTCGACAACTTTCGGTCGGAGAGAAAATAATCGCCTGTGATTATGTGATTATTATTAGTAAACCAGGTGAACACCACAAACCAAAGACTTAACCGTACGAACACACTATATATTTTTGGTATACACGGGTCTGTTCAGCGGGAAGTAGTCTTGCATGCTGCATGTACTGGAAGAATATCAGTAAGGTGTTTTACTATAAGCAAAAATCGACATTGGCAAGTTTGGAAGAATAAAAGAAAATCCCTTAGCCTCTACATCTGCCCCATCACACATCAAATAACCACACTACTTTAGCATATCTATTCTTCAGATTTTTTTTTTTTAATCTTTCTTGCTGGATTTTAAAATTTCACTCATCAAATTAGAAAATCAAATGACCTTCTCTTAGATAGGCTCCGTAGTAATGTACTGGTTACGGCCCCATGCATCTGCAATTTTACTGAGTTCAAGATACTGCAGGTATGAACCAGCAAATGTGAAAAACCAAAAGTCTGACCGTCCTTTTCGAATTGGTCGATACCAAAGGTAAATTTCCATTGAACGTCTCACCTCAAGTACGCATCTTTTGAGGATTTCTCTATTTTGCCTCCAAATTGGACCAATAGTAAACTGCTGCTCAATTTGTTCATGATACTCGCGCCCAAAAAGGCAAGTAAGTGTTCCAAACAGTGCCAACTTATGATAACTTCTCTCAGCCTCTGTGCAAAATCGTTGAAAAGTTTTCTTTGAAATTTTGGAAGTTGGACCTCGAAGTGGACTTTCATCTGATAGTTTCGATTTGGAGCTGCCTAAGTATGCCAAAAAATCTAACAAAATTACTGAGGGCTCTAAACGTGGAAAACGTCCATGTTTATTGAAAACAAAGTCTTCAAAATGTTGAACTAATGCAATAGTTCTGTTAACATCGCTTGATCCAGGGTTCAGCATATGATCCCATTCTACCAGTATGTCTTTGACAGCGTTAACCTGTTGGTGTTCTGTCAGAAAACTATGTTTCATGACATGGATATGTTGCCCTTTAGAATATGTGTATATCTCATTAGATAAGCTACTAAATACAGGATTTTTATCTAATGGTCGGACAGTAAAGAAAGTAACACGATAGTTCTTCAGTTGTGCCAAGACGTCGGACATAACCCAGGGGAAGCTCAAGAGTTCAGGGTCTCTTCTGTACGTCGCAATATACCAGGCTGAGGCTTTGGCATATCGCTTTCGTTCGATCTCCTCCTTGCTAAATATTCCTTCTTTTTGAAGGTCTGATTCAAATTTTTTCCTGTATTTTTTACGAAGATTTCTAACTTTCTCAGCCACTAGTCTCTCTGTGTCAAATCGCTCGTTTCGTTCTGTAATGCGCCTGCTGAGTGTGTTTAAACAGCCCGACATTATCTCACTTTCATTCTCAATACCATACTGTGTCATGATTGTCGTGAGATCGTGGCTGTATTCATTCCGTATCCTCTCAGCTTCCTCAATGTATTCCTCATGTCCTGGATACAACAGGTGAGGGTCTCTTTGTGTTCCTTTATACTCATCTCTGCCATCTTTCTGCCATGTGATTGATTCAACATTTCGACACTGTGTGTAAAGCTGTCCCAATGCCTTTTTAGATATATAACCTGTTTTATCTCGTTTGTTCATAAAATGAGGATAGTTTTTTGGGTGCTCATTTTTTTCTAACTCTGGACAGGATCCTGTCTTAGGAAAGTCAATAGCTTTGGAAAACTTCTTGGCAAGTTCGATACAAACATCTGAAAATATTCCATCTGTTTCAGAATCGGCAAATGTCAGATGGGCATTGGCAATTACTCCTACCCTATCATTCTTAATGTAATCTGATATGTACTGTATCATATCTTTCTCTTTTATTTCACCATAATGTATTTTAGGTGGAGAAGATGGAAAATGCATAGGAGGGACATTTTTCTGGATCAATAATTGTGGCATCCATGTTACAAAGTACTCATCTCCATCTAAATCAGAGCCTGCCATCTCGTCAGGATGAGGTCTGTTACCTGTCTGTGGAAAGACAACACAATCTATCATGTGACGTAAAGATGGAACATCAACCGCCTCGAACTTCCTAATGTCTCCTGGGTGAAGGGCTGGGAACTTTGTGATCACAACAGGACCTTTGTGAATAATAGTTTCTGTCTGAGGAGCAAATATGTGCTTAGAGTATTGTACAAAGACTTGACCATACTGTAGACTTGCTGTTTCATCAATAGTACCGATCATGTTTCTTCCAAATTCTTCAGGAATTTCTATACGAGCCTTTCTTTTCAGATGACCTTATAGAAAGACAAAAATCGTTTTCATAAAAAAAAAAATTCTTATGTATGAAATATATTTATTAGGCATTGTTTTTAAAAAATGGTACTTACCCACAGAGTGTTTATAAAGTGCCTTTAGCATTCCTTTGAAAAATGGCTCTTGTGTTAGTGCAATGCCACTTTGCGAAATCATGGTGAACGCCATACCATTGCGTACATGCTTATTCAATGACACAGCTGATTGAAATTCATACAACATCATATTAGCCAGACGATATAACATGGCTTCTTGCAGTTGAATAAATACTTTATCAGGCACGCCCCTTCCAGAAAGCAATGTGATCGCTTGATAGTTCAGAAAAAGTCGGCCTATGTGTAAAATAATATGTACGTTATTACATCACGGCAATGAAATATCATTTCTTGGCAGTTAAGGTATTTACTTTCAAAGTCTAATTCACCCAACGCCAGGGTGTCTTCCTTCACGAACTGTAATCTGCATCTTCTTATACTGATACTTTGTGAAAGACACCACTAATTAGGCCTACAATAATTGAAAGTTGCATGTATTTGCTTTTGGAAGTATAAAAGATACACCTACTTCCTGACAACTTAACAGTTAAGAATTGGTAAAAATTTAATACGTACCTGGTTTTGACTCTGTCATTTTCTCCAAGTCACAATCATCACTTTCGAACTTCTTCATACTTTTACGTATTACAATCTTTTCACCAGGAATTGTTGGATCTACTGCAAGAACTCCTTTACATCCTCCATAGCGGATTTGAAAGGCCGATGGTTTTAATTCGATGTTTAACTGTTTGCACACCTTAAAGACGGTATTTAGTACTGTTATATTTAGGATCGAGTTCAAAATTTACAGAGATGTGTATAAGAGACAGATACCATACTGTGTCATGATATATATATATATATATTTCTACCGTACTTATCATCATCCTGATCAACACCATCATCAACGTCGACGTTGTCATTATCATCATTATCTTCTCCATTATCATCATTTCTTTATTTTTTTTCGCCATCTTTTCTTTATCCTATCATCTCCACTTAACTTTACTAATATAATAAAATATTTTATATACTGTACTTTATTCCGTAGTACTTCCGAAATTTTTCCAATTCCGTCCGAAAAACAATATGGTTTTAATTCCCTGTCAAAACCACCTTCAATATCATTACCAAAATCGACTTGGCCTGATTCAACTTCTACCTTTAATGCTGATTCCGAAGTTGAAAAACATTGTCCCATTCGAGAAATGTACTTGGCAACTATATTTATTTTGCGAAAGTCACCCATATTTTTACGTATTGTTTCTCCGGTGTTACCATCGTCGTCCTCTGCGTATAACCAACACCCATGATCACGCAGCTGACTATTAGAACACGCAAGGAATTTGTAACAACGGTTACAAATTTGTACACCATTTGACAGAACTTCAATTATTCTCTCAGCTATATCAGTAGAACTATTAGCTTCCGTGCCATTTAGCTTGCGATAATTCTCGTCTCGGAATACGATTCGAGCACAGAATTCTTCGCCGTAACGTCTCAGTATCCTATTGCTGAACATTAATTCTGGCTGTTCAATTATGAGCCTTGTCGGAGTGCAGTAGATACGACGAACGTACTTACAACTGCTTGGAACCTCTTCTTTAGTTCTCTTATTCTTCTCTTCATTTAGAAGAAAGACGAAAGCTTCTTTGAGGTCAATGAAATGATCATTTTCAAGCTGTCTACTTAGCGAATATAATGCTCTCTCTAATATTTCTTCATTGGTTTCTTCCTGAACTACTTTGATGTAGCGTAACAATTCATTACTTCTAAGAGTTGATACCATTCCAAGTGAGAAAAATGACTGAAGCGCATAATCAGTCCCGTATTCAGAGAATAAAAACTCAAGACGAGTATTGCAAGATGCTGCTTTGTGACTAACATGAGCATAGTATACATTGAATGTTTGAATGGTTGAAGTTTCGAACCTTCTAATGATCTCATTAAGGTCTTTTTCTGAGTTTCGATCAAATTCCAAACAAATCACAGAAGAATTACCAATAATATATGGCTTACAGTCCCTAAAAGTCGTTGTACGAATCCATTTTGTACCTTCATCCGCAAAATATGTGTCAGCACGACGAATGCGTGGTGGTACTTTAACAAAGAAATATAGCTTCCACGTATTGCGTTTGTAATCTACTAAAATCTTATCAAATAAATCTTGATACTCGTAAACAAATCTGAAAATAGAAAAAAGAATAATGTCGAAGTAATATATTTTTTTAATGATTTGATAATGATGATGATGAGTATATACGACGGTGATGGTGATGGGATATGGTGATTTTGGTTGTGATACTGATCTTGATAATGATAATTGTACAATTATAAAAATGATAGATAATGATAATGGCACGTGATGATATGACACACGTTAGGCCTATTGCAAATAACCTACTTTCACAGATCGAGTGACTAGATCATGTAGTACCACGGTAGGAGCTGAGGTTAGAAAAGTTATATGATAATGGCACTTATAGATGGCCGGAAATGCACTTTCAGGCCTAATTTTTTTTTTCTATTTTAAAAAATAATTAGGGGAACGGGCTGCCCCCACCCCCATTTGAATCCGCCACTAATGACCACTTCTTAGCTTACTTGTGAGGATAAGTTCTAAAATCGACGTTGCAGAAATCCACGATGAGCCGCTTTGAATCGTGTTCAAATGACGCACTGATTTCGCCAATGTGGTGGGCATACTGGCAGCTAAACGTGCCCCGATCGAGCATACAGCCAAGATACACTGCATTGACTTTCACATCTGGGTGATGATAATCGCCGCTTTCCTTGCCATAAACAGTTTTAATTTGCAACGGTCTCAACCATGGAGAATGCCGTATGCCCTCAAAACACCATTGCTCTCGTATCTGGAAAGTTGTAGATAAGCCATATAATAGTCATAGACACACAGTATTTGTTCCTCTATCATGTGAGTGTGAAAAATCGTTGCTCAAATCGGATTCGAATTTCCAACGAAGCCTCCGTGGACCAATTGGTTAAGGCGTCATAACAGCAGAAGGTCCGGATTCGAATCCCGGCTAAGGAAACTTCCTTATCACACTCACAGATCTCGGAAATTCCTCTTCTTTAACATTCCAACATTTATAGCATTACCGCAGAACGTTCAGAGTAACCGGGATTCGAACCTGGGAACATCTGCTCTCTATGCTCACGCCTTAACCAATTAAAGCATCTAATGCTTCACACGCGCATGCGTGGTTAGACAACACTAGTCCTTGATCCATAGCAATTAACAGAGATCAATATGATACGCCCTCTTTTTATAAGGATTTGACGACAAGACGATATATATACTGTCTCTTATACACATCTAGATGTGTATAAGAGACAGTTCTTATACTGATACTTTGTGAAAGACACCACTAATTAGGCCTACAATAATTGAAAGTTGCATGTATTTGCTTTTGGAAGTATAAAAGATACACCTACTTCCTGTAAAAATTTAATACGTACCTGGTTTTGACTCTGTCATTTTCTCCAAGTCACAATCATCACTTTCGAACTTCTTCATACTTTTACGTATTACAATCTTTTCACCAGGAATTGTTGGATCTACTGCAAGAACTCCTTTACATCCTCCATAGCGGATTTGAAAGGCCGATGGTTTTAATTCGATGTTTAACTGTTTGCACACCTTAAAAACGGTATTTAGTACTGTTATATTTAGGACCGAGTTCAAAATTTACAGTAATAATTGTGAGATCGATATATATGTATATCTGTCTCTTATACACAGTCGACCCAATGATCAGAGAAATGAACTGCGCTTTATAACCGCAAGGAAAGAGGCGCATTATAAATGCTCGTACCAGTACCAGTATAATTCACTTATTTGTATGATTACTCACTTTTGTGAAAGGCGGTATGTTAATGTGTGACCCTACACGCCATATTGTCAAGAAGTTACCAAGGTGTTTACGCTGAGAACTTGATTTGATTTCCTGGCTTTGGATTAGCTTGTGACATTCTGCATCACACAGTGCCTGTTTGGTTTGGTACAAAATTTCAAAAGATGGGATGGAAGCAGATTGACTCATTTTATTCATTCGTTGAGACCTACTTGAAGAAACATAGTAATAAGTAATTATTAAAAGAAATTGGTTTATTGAAATAATAATCATACCTTTTAACATAGTTTATAATTTGATTTTGTTTACTAATACTCTTGCTAATACTGTACTTAATATAAAAATCCATTTCTATAGTTTTAGCGCCGACTGAAAGGAATCTTAAAAGAAATTTATATTCATGAGAAATCGTTCTCAATGTGTGATCGTTTTTTTTTTTTTAAATTTATTTATTTATTTTTTTTTTGGTCACACTGTACACATTTACGCCACATATAATTACTGATATATCCAGTAGGCCTACTTCTTGCATGTAGGGGCTTTGTCCAAAGGCACAGACGTACGAGTGTAACTACCGACCTCTTCATTGCAAATTCAAAACTTTCTGTACTATACATGTACATGACGCTGACATATAATAATAATACAGTAATATAAATAATAATAATAATAATAATAATAATAGGCTAATAATAATGATGATAATTAATAATAATAATAATAATAATAATAATAATGACGAGGATGACGATGACGAAGACGACGATTATGATAAAAATGATGATGATGATGATAATAATGATGATGTTGTTGATGATAAAAAAAATAATCATATAATTATTAGAGGGCGAGTAGGCCTAATATTACTGGTGGTAGATAATAACAACAATATAAGTTAACTGACTACAACAAAAACATAGCACCAACAGTTATAAAATAATAATAATATACTGTACATGACATGAAAACTAATATTGGATTGATGAATATAGTCCTATATAGGCCTATTGAGGATACTTAGAACAAAAAATAAATCCACAATTTAACAGGGGCTAATTAATATTTTTCCAGCCGCCTATAAGCTCCTCGTGTCGGTTGCTATACCATATAGTAAGTACAATATGCATACTTAAGTAACATTACATTAAAGGCCTACTGTGTCCAGGCCCGTAGCCAGGGAGGGTTTTTATGGTTCGGGCGAACCCCCCTTTTCTAGCGAACCCCCCTGTTTTCTAGCGAACCCCCTAGAATTTTTGAATGAGTCCCACTCGGACGGAATGTCTGTTTTTACTTTCCCAGTATTAAATCAAAATTTAGCACCTAATTCATTATTTGGTCACCCGTTTTTAAATTGTAGCCTACAATACAATCCTACATTCTAGAATATCTCAGCTTCAGAAGTTCGGAGATTTAAATTGAACGCAACTCCGGCAAACCATGACTCGATAGCTCACATAAGGATCATGGCAAACATCGATAAAAACTTTCACTGGCCTTTGGCTCACTGGCCTTTGGCTGAATGTTTGTAAGAAATGTACCAACCGGTAACGAAACAGCTGCTCTATGCCTGAATAGTGATCGTAACTGAAAAATAATTATGCAGCAACACGCTTTGTCAACTTGTAAACATTTAGAGCCTTCTGTTGTTTGCCCATAAAACAAATTTTGGAGTGTTATACAGTACGATTTCAAAACATTGTCATCGTAAAGAAACAGCTATAATATTGAAAACAAACAACTTGAAACAAAATCGGTGTACGGATTTAAATAAATATTTACAATATATTTTAATGGTTAACTTATCAAATTTTACGACCAATTTTTACATACATTTGTGAGTGACGGTGTGTAATAGACATGCAAAACCAACATTAGCGGTTAGCTGTACAGTGTAATATCTTTGAATATCATTTTAGACTGATTCATTCATATGCTTGGTCATCTTGTAATCATTTAGAATTCAACAGTTTTTAATATTAGGGTCCGTATCTCTACACTTCTAGACCTGTCTCTTATACACATCGCTTAAGTAAATTTCAAAGGAAACTGTTTTCTCAATTTTTCTTATTGTTAAATACTCCTATGCAATACTGTAGGCCCCTCTGGTATAAAATTGACAGATCAATTAGACACTCTGTAAATATCGATTATGCCCTTTTATATAATAAGGCCCGGTAGGCCTATGTATTGTGTGAAGTACTGAGGCTTTGTTAACATCGATTGTTTGAAATTGCGCACAAACTTCAAATTCTTGGCCTAACATACAATGCCAGAGGAAAGGATATCACGTTTTAATCACCAAAAAGGATTTTCCACGAACGCACAGAGTAATAGTTTTTCAAATTTTCTAATAGTATGGCCCAAAGCGAACGAATTTCTGGTCTCGAAAAGCAGACACTTCGTTAAAGCTGCTTATACAGTACAAAATACTGTACAGAATATGATTCATTGAAAAAGCTTTAAAATGAAGGACTTTTAAATGAAGTTTATATACAGTACTAATATTTTGCGAATCTTGGGTTTTTAAAAGCAATCTTGGGATTTTTTAGACCCAATCTTGAATTTT